GGAAAGCAAAGCGAGACACAGCGTAGGTCCAGTGGGTCCTGTGCAAGGGCTGTGCGTGGCCTCAGGTTGACCTGCAAGTAGGATGCGTGGCGAGACACTGCCTTTGTGTTGGGGAAATGGTCCCAGGACACACTGGAATCCCTTTGCCTTTGAAATTATTTAGCCAAGGTCAAGAAAAACAGTATCCAACTGCATTCCCTCGAAAGAAGCTCATCGCAGTTCAACCTGTCCTGGTTGTTGTATTGTAGGCTCCAAACTCTGTATTCTGTACAAATGCAATAATCCAAAATCAAAAGCATCCTGACAACTATAAGTTGAATATAACATTAAAATGAGAGGCTTTTGCCTACCAGTGCTAGAAAAGAGCTAAAGTTTTTATCTGAATTCTCAACAGAGAAAGAAATACCCCACGGACTTGAATTATTGAGTGGTGTCTTCATCCTCTGGGTACAAAAATATAATGGAGCATAAATAGGAGGTGAACTCAATGTACCTGTCCTCTATTGAAATGAAAGCCATATGGAGCAAGGTGATCAGACTGGAATAGTCCCAAGTCTGTCTGTGTAGGGTCTTATCCAGAATGACGTACAAGACACTGCATGACGGGGAGTTCTATGACGTGGCCATTACAGTCTTACCTATGCCTGTGTTTGCTGGGGGCTGACCAGAGCTTACGGTGTGCTAATACCCATCTGAGTTGCTTGCCATTACCTATAGCAACCCCCAACATTGTTGATGTGTAGCTACATATCGTTCCCTTTCAACTTTGCTTTGCAGTGAGTCAGAAGAGGCTGTACAAGGTGACATTTCATCTAAAGCTGCTGCATATGTAGCCTTTGGACTAATCAAAATTGCTGGTGCTTTTTGTGTGACAAAAGAGCACAGCGTCCAAGATAAACCAAGGAGAAGAGATCTGGGTATGCAAGCCTTCATTTTAAAAAGGCATCTTTCATCTCGCTGACAGCGAGGTTCCTGCAGTGCTTTGATTGCCCTTTAATTACGCCTGTTTTTCCTGGTTTGTTTGAAAGGCAGATCTTGTTAGAAAAAGGTGCTGTGTGGAAAGAACTTGGCTGTCTCTGCTGCCCTTCCTTGAGGGCACACAGCAGAGCTGCTGGATTAATTTTTTTTTTTCTGCATTATTAAAATGGAAGATTGTTTCTCGTAGATCTGAACATAGGCATGGTGTGTTTCTCCCAAGTTAGACGAGGAGGGGTGCGAGTGGTCAGGTGGTTAAAGCAGACCGGGAAGTCATGAGGTCTGGCTTCTTCCCACGCTGACTTCCAGCGTGATCCCAGAGGAGGTGCTTTAATCCTTCTGCCTTCGGTCTTTCGTTGTATGCGGCTGGGCTGCTGCTCGTCTGCCCCAAAGGCTGCAGGAGACCCAACCTCGTGTTGGGTGGAGGAGGCTCTGTAGCATGTTGGGGTGAATGTCAGATGTGGAGGGTGGTTAGCAGCTCATACCAGCTCACAGGTTTCGTGCTCTTTGCTGTTTTATCTGAAACCCCACCATTGTAGAGCCATTTGTCTCGATGAGAATCTCAGCTTTCGTTAATAATAATAATAAAAAAACCATGAAAAAAAAAATCAACAAAAAAGAAAAGGAAAGTAAAGCCTGGCTTTGGTTGGAGAGAAAAGCCTGGAAATATGATTCAAATATAGACTAAAGGCTTAACTGCCAAGCAAGCAAAATAACTCAAGACTGGGTTTCTGATCCTTTTAGAAATACCAGTTTTAAAGAATATCAGCGTAAGTTTTGAGGGCTTGACTCATGTTTGTAAATGCTTGGGCTTGACAACGCTCTATTTTTAAAGTGCTGTCTTTATGTTGAATCTTGGGAGGTGGGATGAAAATGTTGGGTTTTTTTAAGAGTAACAACAAATCTTAATATAGCTGAGAATGCGGAACTGCCCTTAGAAAAATAGGTTGGATACATGAAAAGGAATCTTGCTCAGCAGGCTGAAGACGCAGAGCAACTTTTGTGGTTACGTTTTTCTTTCTTCTGGCAATTTTGGGGTGGGGATGTAGCTGGCACAGTCACTCAGCCTTACGTTTCTTTTTGAACGCAAGTCAAATCTTCCTGAACAAAAAGCACCTGGTTGAAACTGTTTTAGCCCAAACTGGACAAGCTGCTCGCTAAAACTCCATTGTTGTAGAACTTGAGGCAACCTGAAGTTGGTCAAAAATAGGAGTTACAGGATGGGTAGGGAGAAGTAGATGATCGTTTTGAACTGAAATGGATTTGTATGAACAGGAGAAGACAGATGGACTCCCTGTTGTTTCAGAGAAGCAATTAGGTTTTAGTTGTTGTCCCGTCCCCAGAGACCTGAAGACTTAAATGGCATGAAAATGAAGTCAGCCTCTTAAAGCCAAAGCTGATCAAATGAGGAGACTCTGAAGTAGGAGGATAATCTTTGTCATTTGACAGGCAATCCCAGATTCCCGTGGGATACCTGTGCAGCTCTGCTGTAGTATCATGTCTGTCATGCTGAGACCAACCCTTCTACCTTCAGCCCAGCGTGCTGCATGGGCTTTCTGTGGCTGGTAAGCCATGAAGACTGAAAATGTAGACCTGAATTCTCAGAAGAGAAGTGACACTGCTTGTTAGGGAACTGGCGGCTGATGCTGCACATGGAGTCTGCTGATGTCAGTGTTGTAAAACTCAAATGAGAGATTTCACAGAAATTTTGAGGCTGTGGTAGACCTGCTGGCATGGCTGCTCGGGCATGTTTTCTTAAAGAATGCAGTTATTTCTTCATACAGACATGAGAGTTGTGTGTGAATATTCAGTATAGGTAAATAAATTTAAAATTAAAATTTAAAATGTAAAAATATGCGAACACCAGAGTTGAGGCTCTTTTACAAAACAAAACCCCTGCTTAGGGAACACAATTATTCAGGCTGTGCATAAATCTGATTACCTAGCTCCAAAGCTAGGGTGAAAGCAGCTCTTCAGGCTCCTTGTAGCTTTCCTCCTGGGGTGTGCCAGCACCGCAAACAAAATGCCCTTGCAAAGTTGAAGGTAGCAAAAAGGGAAGGGGGGTGGATAAAGGCTAGCAAAGCCATCATTTGGGTTAGTCTGGGGAAGATTGAAAAGAGCTTATTTTAAAATGATTTTCCTGGCTGTGATTTAATGCATGTTTAATGCTTTCAAAAAAAAGTCATCTTGGAACAACACGGGTTTGGGATGCTGAGACACAGACTAGAAGGTGAGCAGGCATCGATTGCTGGCTCACCTTTGGTGCTGCTGTCCCTGCACCTTGTCCTGGCTGCAGAACACCCAGCGCGGGTCTGGGTGGCTGGGGATGGGGCTCTGCCGGCCTGCCACGCTGGCGTGAGTTAGATGTTGTTTCACACATTTTGGTGTCCCTTTGCACAAGCGGGACTTGGCGGGGGCATTGCCAGCTCTGTGAGACGGTGTGTGTGCACAAGGGAGAGGATGGAGAGTGTTTGCCGAGCTGGTAGCCATCTCCCTGCTCTGGGGCAGCTCGTGCTCACAGGGGCTGCAAGAAGTTGGATGTGAATCTCGAACATTCAGACAAGTTATTATGACAGAAGGTGCTTATCTATACTATTCTTTCCCCTACCACCCCCAGGCTTTTTATATTACTTGTTATATATGGGGGGAAAAAAAAACCATAGAGCTTATATCCCCAACCTAGTGACAGTTACTGCATTTCTATTTCCCCTCTTTTGTTAAAACTAGCAGAGGATTTTGCAGAACCCGTGCAAAGGAGCCTGTGATAAGCACTTTGCAAAACCACAAATCCAGCCCAAAGCCATAAGCTTTTCCAAACGTACCTGGAGACTTTGCAGCAGCATGACGGCCCCGGGAGGTGGCACCAACTCCCTGCAGAGACTGTCGGGTGGGTGCTCCGTGGTAGGAGCACAAGAAGTAAGCGATCGGGTGGCGGGACAGTACTCCCGCAAAACCTTTGACAAGGTGCTTCTGGCTCCCAAGGCTTTATATTTTTTAAAGCAGTGGATTCTCAGCCTTTATTCTTGAGGCAGAGAAGAGAGGAGCTATTGCAGGTCTTGGTAGCTCATAAATTCCGGGTAATTAATCGTTGCAGCTTCTTCTGAGGCATGCTGATAATGATGATTGTGTCTGGACAAAAGCCTGGTGCACAGCAAGCCCATGTTCTGGATACAAAGTACTCTGCTCTATCTGTTCATATCCACACAAAGTTGTGGGGTTTTTTGTTTGGTTTGGGTTATTTTAGGCGAGTATGAAATATGATATGTTCAAAATCACTCTTAATTTTCCCCATAATTCAGTTTTTTTATAAGAATAATGAAAATACTACTCTTTCTCTTTTGATCTGAACATTAACAAGGTATTGTAGGTCTTACTGGGAAATATTCAAAATAGTGCTCGTCTTTTTAGGTGTAAAGTCCAGAAACTTTCACTGAAATAATGGCATTATTCCTGTGTTTAAAGGTAACACGTTGCCTAGTATTTTTTAAAAGCTTTTTATATCACTTACAAAAAAACAGCAACAGAAAACCCCCAAGTAGTTTGAAGCATAAGCCGTGCTCACAGCAGCTTATGTAAAACTCATGGAAGGCTTTGTTTTAACTTGCCCAGAGTAACATAAATTTTTTTGAAGCACGGTTGTGTTCTTAGCAAGATGGTAAAACACTGGGCAGTGAGGATTGAGTGTAGGAGGGTTCCTGTTGCTGAAAGTTTGATGATGACATTTGAGATGTCTTGGGCAGAAATATCTGGGAAAGATGGGTGGAGTCTTCATAAAGTTTGGAGAGTTTGTTGAAATTTATTCTGGACAAAGTAACTTCATCCCCTGTACTGGCTTATATAAAGAATTCAGAATATTGTACTACTACTTGGGGATTTCACCTGATCTCCCAGAAGAAAGAAGATTCTGCTTGTAGTGGCAAAGACCAGCACGTAGATCTCGGTGCTCACCGAGTAGTCTTGTGCTCAGGGGCCAGCCAGGAGTCTTGTGTGTCTCTCCTGATGGGTGCTGCTTTCCCCTTCTGCAGGTTTTCATTTCTGTGAACTGCCTCAGCACGGATTTCTCCTCTCAGAAGGGAGTCAAAGGTCTGCCCCTGAATCTTCAGATCGACACCTACAGCTACAATAACAGGAGTAACAAACCTGTCCACAGAGCCTACTGCCAGATTAAAGTCTTCTGTGACAAGGTAAGGTTGGGTCAATGGGCTAGTGGCCCATTCTGTTCTACAGCTTCACAGCTTTTTTGGTTTTTTTTCCCACCTAATTCTACCACTTGCTATTTTGGCTCACTGAAAACTCCTGTCTGTGCTCAACCTTTGCAAGGAAAAAATTTCAGCCCCTTCTACTTGGCTCATAGATGTTATGACGACCTCAGATAAATTTGCTGCTCTCAAAATGCTGGAGCACTGAGGAGTGTTCCTGAGCGCTGACGTCGGAGAAAGGTCAGTCAGTGGCAGAAGACAGACTGTCGGTACGCCAGACACCGGGAAGTCCTGCAGAGTGCCTTCAGTAGGAGAAATCATTGCAATTGATTGAAGCAAGTAGAGGCTTGTCTTTTTGCCCAAGCTATGTCATGTTGGTCCTTTTAAATTTCTTTGTGTGCTCTTCCTGCATTTGTTATTAAAAAAACCCCGATAACTTGCACATCTTGTGAAGAGAAAATGTTGCTGTTTTCATTGTACTGCTGTGAGATAGAGCAGTACAACAAAGCCCATTTACAAGCTGCATGGGTGCTGTAATTTGACTGCTCTGCCTAATGCATTTAGCACACAGAGAATTAAAGCCTTTCCCAAAGCCACTGTTCACCAGAAGCTGTGTAAGAAACATAGCAGGAGCGGAGCTGAAAACAATTGTAAAAGCTTAACTGAGTTTGGAAGGAAAGGACATTTCCCAATCTTTGTAACCTCTTCCTGCCTGAATAGTCTTTTGAAGGACCAGAGCAAGTAATGTGCAATGTTGCTATTTCCAGGGTGACCAAGTTCTTTCTAGGCTGGGATAAATACTGCCTGGACTTCCCCACTCCTTCTTCTGATTGCTGTGAACCACACCAACTTCCTATTTTGCTGGCATCCTACTTGATTAGGGCCACTCTGTCTTCATAGCACAGACTCTTTGCGAATGATATCTCAGATACCTCTCTGCGTAGCTGCAGGTCTGAGATGGGCTTGTGACCCCCGCTCTTGAGTCCTGTGCTAGCTTTGCACCGGTTGCGTATGTATGGTCTTGCCTTGTCATCCCCCAGGACACTGCCGCAAAGATTCATCTCACACACCATTGCTCTGCCTCCACTTACCTCCCAAAATATATGGAGCCCTCTACAGTCTGCCTCTGCTGCAGCATCCCATTGTCTCATCCTGCCACGCTTTATTGTCCATCTATATGCTTTTAAATAGGCTGCTCTGCTTTCCTGCATGGTTGGGAGAAGCTGCCTGTAGGTGCTTGCCAATGTAAAGCTACTTAGTCATCTTCCTTCAAGTGCCTCCTGAGATGGCTCCTGTTGTGATGATTTCTGCAAAGAATTTACCACGGAGTTAATGAATGCCCTCCAGAGCTGTCTTAAAGACTTGCTAGTAAGCCTGAGAGGCTTGAGTCTCATGGGCTTTCTTC